CCCCCCCCCACCCTCCCATGCGTGCTCTTTCTGTTTCTCAAATAAAATTTGAAAAAGGAAAAAACTGGGGATAAAAAGAGAACAAGTAATGGGACTAGCTAAGTTTGATGAGGTCAAAGAATCTCCCCATTCCTCCAGTCAGTGGCTAATTCTGCCAGCTGTACTTCATTATATCTCTTATCATTTTTCTTTCATCCCTGTATAATATGCTATCCTCACTCCGTCATTATCCATTTTACAATATTTATGGAGAGCCTCTAGGTGCCGGGCACTGTTCTGGGCACTGGTAATACACCAATGAACAAGACAGGCCAAGTCTCAGTTCCTATTTTGCACTATAATAACACTCCAAACTGGATTCTCAGCTTTCGGTGTCCCTACTCCAATCCATCCTGCAAACTGCCACCGGGCAAACTGCAAAGATATAGATCTGGCCCCAACACTCCCTTGCTTAAACTCCCTGTAGTGTTTCCCATCGTGTTTAGAATAAATTTCAATATCCCTAGTGTCCTCTTCAAAGTTCTTCACTAATTGGCCCCCACAGCCTTATCTCCCAGCCTTCACCTCCCTGCACTATGCACTTGAACCAGTAAAATCGCTGAAAATCCTTGATACACACACTTATAAATAAGCACTTGCTGAAAAGACGTGGTTAGTACTCCATCCCTATTTCAACCTTGTCCATGGAAACATTTCCCATTCTGCGTGCTTTGGACGAAAAAGCCCTAGTTAGCCCCTCCGGCTCTGGAGCCTAAAAGCGCAGAACGCACACTTCCCACCTCCCTTGCACGCAAATCCAAACCCAGAGGGAGCCGGAAGGGGAGGGGCTTCGCGCGGCCCCGCGGCCTCCATCTTGGCTGAGCTGGCCGGAAGTGGCCGGGCGAACGGGTGCGCGAGCGCGCATTGAGCCTGCGCCGGGGCCGCGCCGTAGGTGTTCTGTGCCGCGGCGTTGCGGCGACCGTCCCGAGTCTTCTGCTGTGCCGTCCAGCAGCCCGAAAGCCCCTTCTGACCTTTCTCCTAGTCCTCCTCCCGCCGCCTCAGCCATTGTCCCACCCCTCCGCCGGGGTTTGCGCAGTGGCTTGCACACCCCTCGGCCCGTGTACGCGCTCTGCACCTGCATTCCCGAAAACATGTTGCAGAAACCCGAGAGCGGGGCTCTCCCCATCCCTCAGGCCGAGGGGAAGGATGGCGGCCGTGACGGTGAGACCCAGGCCCTGACCGCCTCTCAGGAGGAGGCCCCGAGTCCCCTCCTGCAGGAGAGCTCCAGGGAGGATCTTGGCGCCGGGAGGGAGGAGGGGGCTGCGGAGCCCGCCCTCAACCCAAAAGGCGCGAGGACCTTGGCAGCCAAAGCTTTGGCCCGGCGCAGGGCCTACCGCCGTCTGGATCGGACGGTGGCCGAGCTGGTGCAGTTTCTGCTGGTGAAGGACAAGAAGAAGAGTCCCATCACTCGCTCCGAGATGGTGAAATACGTTATCGGAGACTTGAAGGATCTGTTCCCTGAGATCATCGCAAGGGCCGCAGAACATCTGCGGTATGTCTTTGGTTTCGAGCTAAAACAGCTTGGCCGCAAGCACCACACTTACATCCTGATCAACAAACTAAAACCTCTGGAGGAGGAGGAGGAGGATCTGGGAGGAGATGACCCCAGATTGGGTCTCTTAATAATGATCTTGGGCCTTATCTACATGAAAGGTAATAGTGCCAGGGAGACACAGGTCTGGGAGATGCTGCGTCGGTTGGGGATGCGTCCGTCAAAGTATCACTTCCTCTTTGGGTACCCGAAGAGGCTTATTCTGGAAGATTTCGTGCAGCAGCGATACCTCAATTACAGGCAGGTGCCTCACACCAATCCGCCGGAATGTGAATTCTCTTGGGGTCCCCGGAGCAACCTGGAAATCAGCAAGATGAAAGTCCTGGGGTTCGTGGCCAAACTCCATAAGAAAGAACCCCACCACTGGCCAGTGCAGTACCGTGAGGCCCTGGCAGACGAAGCCGACAGGGCCAGGGCCAAGGCCAGAGCTGAGGCCAGTATGAGGGCTAGGGCTAGAGCCAATCAAAGGGCTGGTATCCACCCTTGGTGAGGGCCGGTGGATAGGTGGCCAGCAGGGTCCTCCTGGTTATGAAAGCTACTGTCTGAGTCATAAGTAGTATCGTTGGGTGTAGGCCGTTAATTAGAAGTTGAATTTGTGTAACTACGTTTTGTATCTTGCTATGTTTTGTTACATTTTACATACCGTTACACTGATGTTTATAAATGAGATTGTTCTACTTTTTCCTGTAGGATTTTGTTGTAGAGTTTTGCTGGTTTTGTAAAATGGATTGAAAACTTTACATCTTATTGTGTGATCTTGGACAAATTACACAGCATTGTAATGCTGTACGTTAATGATTTGAAGGAACTCAGCAGTATAGCTGATTGGTATCTAGCTTCCCGATGCTTTTTGTCTATATTGTATAAAGAAAAAAGACTAGCATGTACCTCTATTTGCTTAGCTATTCTGGTACCTAGAGAAAAATGAAAATGCAGTAAATTAGAAGTCTATCCTGGTACGCTTAATAAATTAAACATTTGTTGAGCATCTGCTTCTGTGTGGTGTTTGGGGCATTTGGGGATAGCATGCTAAACAAGATAAAGGTCCTCCTTTTCAGAACTGGAAAGGAAGTAAATAAACCAGAAGTTACAGTGCAGTTGGTTGAAGGCTACAGAGGGACGGCTAACCCAGCTGGGTGATTGGGCTTGCCTGAAATTACCTGTAGTCAGACTTTAGGGGTACAGGGGAAAGATAGGGCATGTGGAGGGGAGGGAAAGGAAAAGAGGAAGAAGTTGGGAGTGGGAAATGGGACTGCTTAAAAGAACTGAAAGTCACAGATATTCCTCAATAACATGGGAAGAAAACTTGATACGTAGCAGAGCTGAAGAACACCCTACCTTCCACAGTGCTCTTGTTCCAGGGCAACTCATTACAGTGCACAGTGATGGTGACTATTAGCATTTTGGTCCTCTCCATCTCCCTTCTCTCAACCTCTACAAGGTCCCCTCTTCTACCAAAGCTGTCAGAGATCAAATACTGTAACAATTCTAGAATAATATGTCATGTGGGTGGAGGGTTCATGTGATATCCCCTACTACCCCCAAGAAGTTCCACTTCAAGATTTCTCCCCTGGCACTAGGAAGCCTAGGGCCCTCATCCCTGTTTCCACCTGCTGCTTTCCACCTGCCACCTCCCATTTGGAGGAGACTTGTAAAGCATTGCTCACATTCTTTTTTTTTTTTTTTTAATGTTTATTTTTGAGAGAGATAGAGCTCGAGTGCAAATGGGGGAGGAGGGAGCACAGAGAGAGGGAGACACCAGAATTGGAAGCAGGCTCCAGGCTCTGAGCTGTCAGCCCAGAGCCCTATACGGTTCAAACTCATGAACCATGAGATCATGACCTGAGCCAAAATCAGAAGCGTAACTGCTTAACCGACTGAGCACCCAGGCACCCCAGCATTGCTCACATTGTTAACTAGCCATGAAGGGTCATCTACATAAGCAGCTGGGGGCCTCTGCGATGCCTGCCACCTTCATTCTGGGGATAAGTCCTGTAGAAAAGATGCATAGAGTAATAGGGAGAGTAGAAACCAAACCAGAGATGGGTGTAGAGGGGACTGTGAAACCAGCCCCCCTGCAGCTGCCATAGACAGAAGAGCTGCTTTTCTTCTCGTTACTGCCCGTTTCCCCTGCTTTCAGCTGTGTTCAGATAACATTTCTGAGTATGTTAAGGTTGGTGTGGAATACAAATAACTTTGGGACACAGGCCCAGAGATCCAGCAAACCAGATGGAGACCAAAAGCTCTAGGTTTATGGACAAAAAAGTGTACTAGTGAATAAAAAGATGACTTCTGGACAGTTCATAATTCATTAAACAGAACTATTGAGTGCCCACTGTATGCTGAGGACTTTGCCGGGTTACAAGATTCATTTGGGAAGACTGACTTGGCCCTCAAGGAACAGTGACAGTGATAATTTCTCACATTTGCATTTTCTCACCAGCAATGTGTGCACCTGAGGGTCAGATCACTTGCTGATTTGCCTCAGGTCTCTAGGTCAGCCAAAGGCAGCACCAAGACTAGAACCCCAAGCCCTCGGTCCCCCAATCTAGTGTGTTTCACTTTAGCACATTGTTCTCCATTCCTGGCTTCCAGTATGTTGTGCATGGTTTTAGTTATCACAATTCCAAAACACAAGCGGGGCCTGTATAATTATCTCCAGTCGCCATGGTAGTCTTTATGGCAGTGACCTAGCATAGGGACACTCCCCCATTTTACCTGTAGCAGATGTGACTGCCGAAACTCAGACATGTAACAGCTAGCAAAGACAGTACTAATAACAGTACCATTTATTAAACATCTAATATAGGCTAAAGGCATTTCCCCCCTGCTTTTCACAACCATACTGCAAAGTAGGTATTACTAAATACCTCCCTTTTATAGACAGTAAAGATGGTAATTCTTGCCATTTATCCTTGCCATTATTTACCTAAGAGAAGCCTGCTTTTTAATGCTTTTAAAAATTAATGGCAACTTTACAGGGTAGATACCTGTTCCATTTTGCACGAAGCAAAGAGAGAGAAGCTAGAAAGTTCTCACAGTGTATAACAAGGATTGCCACTGAAGTCTGAGTCAAAAGCTTGCACTGTTCACTATTTTACATTTCCTTCTTTTTTGGGAGTCTTTCCAGGCTTGGGTCATCTGTCTCTGGACTCACGTTCTTCCTTTAAACACTGCTGTCTCTCTGGAGGTACGAACAAGGATTATGTAGCCAGGCTAATTATGACAAGACACTGGCCTGCAGGAGGGTAGAAAGGAAGCTAAAATAAAGTTGAGGGGTTATCTGTTAACATGGATTGTAGCTCTGCTCACTCTCTCCCCGGTGTGCTGAGCATCGACTACATGTAGAACGTGTCTCTGTGCTCAAACTCGGCATGTTTTGCCCTTTATAGGCCATGTTACCTCAGTCTTGTTTAGTCTGTTCACTACACCTCAAATTAAGACATTCATGCCATGGAACAAGCAAGTAACCTTTGTGGACCTGCAAATATGATTCCCAGCATTGCTCCCACATGGTACAAAGGGCTGCCAGAACTCGTACCCTTGCCTCAGCGTGAAAGATCTCCCATGTCACAAATGTCATCATCAGCTTCTCAGAAGTGCTGAAAGTATGGCCTCTGGGCACATGTGTAGAGCAGACATTGGCCATAGTGAGGGCAAGAGATGACGTCTCTTGTTGCTTACGGTCATTCACATGAAGGGGAAAAATGGTCTGGGTCCCCCTCTCCCCCTTCAGACACAAGCAGAACTAACGTTTGCTGGGTGAAACGGTGGCTGAAGAAGCAGGGCATTGCTGTGGGGGGAGTGGTGACCATTGGGTTATTCCAAACCATACGTATCACGCTGCAACTCGGAAGCAAAGCCAGTAAAGGAAATTTCCTTGAAAACTGTGAATCAGTCTCGAACAATGGGAAGCTCTCAGTTCAACCACAGCCTCTGCAGAGATCCTGGCACTCGCCAGAGTGGGGACTTTTGACCCACTGGAACTTGGAGAATGGGTGTTTGGAAACAGGCTCAGGTTGATTATAGCCCCAACGTGTAGCAGGCACATAGTGCCCCAGAGGTGGCAGGCAGCTCATCTAGAGCCCCTGTAAATCAGGCCTCAATTCACAGGCTCAATCACAGTTTCCACTTGAGATAATTATGCTCCTTGCCTTGGTCATGGTGGCAATTGATGCTTGTACAAATTATTCCTCAAATTGTGCAGCCCAGCAGAGATGGTAACAATCATCTCCCAGCAGAAACAGAGTGTACTAAGGTTAGGTATTCTGAAAAGTGTCCTAATCAAGGCCTTTTAAAAATCATGACTATGTGCCTTTGAACAAGGAATTCCAAACTCAGAAGACTGAAACTCTAGGAAAAAGTTTAGTGGGTGATGGGAGTAGTGGTCGGCTACAATCGACACCCCACACCACATTCTACCAACTGAATGCAGACCCTGCCCAGTTCCCAAGCCGGTCGTGATCGACAATGGTAACGGCCAGCATTTATTAAGCCTAACCAGCATCAGGCATGATGCTAAGGATGAACACTGCTTTGTCTCACGCATCTGTACAACAGCCTCAATATTACAATGCTATAAGGGAAACCATAAGGAAGGAATAATTCCTTCCATTCTGTCAATGCACAAGTTAAATGACTTGCCCAAGCTCATGACATAGCTAGTGAGCAGCAGATCTAGAACTGGAACTTAAACGTTCTGGGTTCTTGTGGGCATTCTACCCTTCTGGTCTTCGGAAGGCTCTTGGGGAGCAATGAACCCCCTTTGGGAAAATGGAAAGAAAAGCTCTCATCCTGCTCAGTTATACCATAACCTAGAGTACTCAGGCTAGGGAGTAAAGTGATGAGGGAGAGGGGCAAGGGGACTTCTCTGGTTGTAGGGTTATGGGCCTTTGGTCACAAGAAGGGAGAGGAATTCTTGAGGAATGAGCCCCCTAAGCACCAGTTCTGTGCTTCCCACAGTGGGGGAGTTAGTGCAAGGGAAGCAGCAGCCTCAGCCTGAAACTATTCAGGAGCCCTCCTGGGTGTCGAGCACAGTGAGCGGTGGCCGCATCCCCTGGACCCACGGGGACAGAGGAGACCTGAGATGGAAAGCTCCCGGCCCCTGAAGCAGACGGACCTGCATTCCAGTCCCACTCTCTGCCACCTGAGCTACCTAACCTCTCTGAGTTTTGGCTTCCTACCTCAAAATCTGTGAAAACTGAATGAGGGAATTACCAAGCACCTGCCACAGTATCTGGCACATGGTGACAACTGTTATCATGAAAGGTATTGACTCGTTCAACAAATATTTTGTGAGCATCTTCTCTACACGTTAGGCACGTTAGACACAGGTGCTAAGGAGTGAGATTACAGCAAAGAACAAAAGGGACAAAAATCCTTGTGCTCACAGAGTTTACATACTAGTATTAGGAGACAGATAATAAGGTAAAGAAGTATAGCACACAGCATGTCAGATGGAGATCTATGTCCTAGGGAGAAATGAAATAG